ACAACCAAAACAACTATATTAAATAATCACTCACTGAAAATGGATGAATCACAGAATTAAGGACAGAAAGAAAAATTTACAAATAAGAAATTATCTGTGTAGATAAAATATTTTAAAGAGGTTATTGCAAAAAAGTTGACATTGAGGGGCACTCTCCCAAAGTATTTTACAAAACAAATTATCACTCCTGATTTTTACTGGTCCATGAACAGTATAGAGTCTAAAATATTTAAAACAGAATTTAATAATGCTTCACTATAACAAACAGAAAAATGGACTTAAAATGACAACTTTTTATAAAGCAATAAATAAGGTAAGATAATTTGCAAGAAATATAAGTGTTTTTTAGCAGACAATAGAGTCTAATACACTCATATGTCAAAATATTTCCTAATACTAAGATTAGCTTAGACATTTAAATACGGTAAAAGTTAGGGCTATAATAAAGTGTTAAGAAAGTTTCAATGAAGCTTGTAGAAAAGGAAAACGCTTATTTGGAAGGAGTTCTATTCCATATAAAAGATTAAATTTTTAGAATTATGAATAAAAGCTATTTTTCAAATAACATATTTTCAACTGCCCAATATTAAAAAGATGACAATGAAGGGGAAAAAATGAACACCTTATTCAACATTAAAATATCGTGCAGTAAACTGTCAGATAAAGTAATATTAACAACATACTCATGTTTTCTTTTAAAGCCTCAATTATTCACTAATATTAATTTAACTTTATGTAAAAATTTAGAGGCATCAGGTTTGATCAGTGTGAAATAAAGTTATAGCTACATTAATGCTATATGTAGCATTTGATTTTTATTTTCTATTTTAAAGTTATTATATCATTATGTTAAAGCACTAATTTGTAGTAAGCACAGCAACTTCAAATCCTTTTTGTTAATTGGCAACTCTGGTGGAGCATAAAGCATTGCTCTTTCTCTGTAGTTTCATTTTAAAGAAACCATCCTCGTATATAAAAATAGAAAATTGAATTAAAATTTATATCAGACACTTTCAGCTTCTGACATCAGAAGAGCTATAAGTAGCTCCTATGGAACATACCACAGCAAAGAGCTGTGGATACCTTCCCTGGTAAGACACCATTCATAGAGATACAAGACACAGCCTGTATCGACTTAATGTATAAAATGTACCACAAGTAAGAAGTTTTAGGCTTAGCAAAAAAACAAGCAAAAATTACCCCAAAACCTGAGTGATAAATTCTGACATTCTTTACTGCCTCCAAGTTGAAAAGTATTTTGTTATTTCTCCTGGTTCTGACTTCTTAACACTTGCCATGAGATATTAATTTTAAAACTCTAATTATACATTAACTACTGTATTCATATTTTCCAAACTGAAATAAAGATGATAGTTTGGCAGTGATTAGAGTCCTGCAAATACTATTACTAAAACTTTGCTGTTTTTATACAATAATTGTTCATCTTTTAGGCAATCTATTAATTTTAAGCTCTAGTTCAAGGTATAAAGATGCTTCCATTCTAACTGGCCATAGCTCATCTTTTAATAATATAAAGTTATAAATGTGTTGGATACATTTTTAACAGTTAACTTTCTACGTCTTGGCATATAAATTCTGATGGGCAGATTGGCTTCATAGTTTAAGTCAGAAAGCCTGTTAATAGAGGGAGTTTTTGAAAGTCAATCCTTCTGTTTCTTTAAGTGATGAATGAAGGTGGGGGGCAATCCTACAAACTGGCAAATTCTCTCTCATCAGATCCGTGCATTTTATATTCTGCAGAAGGATAAACTACATTATACCAGCCTCGTTATGGAGAGGGAACTGCTCAGATTTGAAACTCAGCACATAAACTGTAAAATCTTTTCTTTTTCTTAAATATAACTAATTGTGCCACAAAGGAGAAAAAAAAAAAATCCGAGAGAAATAAAATTGACCACAATCATAGTTTTGATAACCCATAGGAAAACATGATTTAAATTCTTATGTTCATCATCCAAAAAACTTGTAAAAACAGGTAATCACTATCATTGCTCCAACTATGGCAAAATAAAACGTTAGAGCTTCAAGAATCACTGTTCATAATTAAAAATGTTTTTTTGTTGTTGTTTTGGTGGTTGTTTTTTTGGAAGAAGGAGTTTTTAGAAAGTTAAATACAATTGTCAAAAATATGTCACTCTTTTATAGATATGAAAAAATTATCTTGCCCAGGATAATACCTATAACAAATAATTTACTAGTATAGGTAAACTATGTTTTCTTTATCATTTTCCATATTCTTACTTAGATGCCCAGTGACTTAGAGAAATACAAACCTGTAAGAAACTTATATAACATCCAAAAGCCAAAAACCAAACCAAACCATTTTTAACTAAATGGTTAAGCACTGACTATGCAAAATGCAGAAAAGAAATATGAACAACTAGAAGAGAAACAGCCACAGAATACTACTTGTTCACTGATCATATTGCAGATTTTGTATAATTATTAAACAATTAGATAGTAACAATTTTAGGGACACCTCCCTTTTTCAGTCAGTTATTTCACCCATTACCTAAAATTATGCCTTTCATGCAGCAGGCATTCAATAAACATTTTGAATGACTATTTATACACATTCAAAAGAAATTAACTTGTAAATAGTATTTGCTTGATTGTATCTGCCCATCTGATATATAAAATCAGACTATTTTAATGTGCCAATCAGAGACATGCTGTTGAACATCCACACAATCTCACAGAGCTACATGCTTTCCACATAAAACTAAATAGCACATCTGTGGCAGAATCTATAATACATAAGGCAGTGTTTTTACTCACATACCAATTTCTCATTTCACGTCTGCAATTTTCAAGTGTTGATGAATTACTAGTTGCCAAAGAAGTCACATTATATACAACAAACCTTCAGTTTAAATAAGGGATAAGCTTGCTGTTAACAACTTAGTTTGAAATGTTAACAACCTTTAGGCTGTTAACATAACAACTAGCCATTAATGAGGTAATGACCAATTTAAAAGGAAATTGCACTCTGAGAAATGAATATATTGGCCATCAGGACCAGGGTTTATATTTGAAAGATATAAATTTCTAAAAATTGGTTAACAAGCATTAAAAGTTTGAGCCTCTCAGAAATTAACTAACTTATATCACAAAGAGCAACATATGGACACTTTTGTAGATAAGAATTTCTGATACGAAAACTTTTTTGAAAATTCCCTTCTACAAAACAAATACTTGAGATATCAAATAGCAATTGAATATCATATTTTATTACCATAAGGAAGAATGAAACAGAACAAGCCCAGGGTTACTTTCTCACTCGCGATTATATTGACAACTGCAAAACAGCTTCACTCACGACAGAGGTATTTCATTGGCAAATTCACATTTTTGATTTTAAGTAAAATCCAGGTATTTTCAAAGAATTTCTTTAAATTTAACTTAATTCTGTCTTTATTGCTTATTAGGACACCTTAACCTTGCCAAACTATATAAACTTTTTGTTTTGCAATTGTTGCTACATAAATCCATTTGAGATACTGCAGTTGTAAACAAAAGTAAAAGCCAAAAAGAGTTAAAAAAAAAAGCATGACTTATTGGTCGGTAAAGTTAAAGCAAACTAGGAAGCAAATGTTAAGTCAGTAAAAGGAAAACAAATGCTCTATGTAGAAATGAGGCTCTGATTCACAATGAGCGGAGGAGGAATTTTTATTTCAAAGGGGGGAGCTCAAAGACTGCAGTTCTAAAAGAATTCATGCAATAAGTTAATTCTGATCAGTTGTGCCACCACAATGAGGGAAATCCTGGCTGTAGAGTCACTTCTCATTGCTGGCACCTTGCATGTATTTTGAGCACAAGAACGCAGAGGAGTAACAAGTGGTCATAATTAGTCAAGAGGCTGTCAGATGAGGCTAATGCTAGAATTTGAAAAACAGTACTGGATTCACCCTCTTGTGAGTACTATTAATCAAACTATATTTTTATACATCAAGATGAAATTGGACTGAAAAACAACTGAATTATATATTAGAAACACTAAATTTCCTAGAAGGTACTTCTCCAAATGACCAAGATGGTTAAGGAGTTACTGCCAATTGATAAATTTTGAGTCATAAGGGGGGAAAAATTCAAAAGAAATCTCTTAATGTTAGACTAGAAAAATGATTAATTATATCAAACATGAAACCCAAATGATGGCATATATCATTTCTCTAATTTGATAGCTCTTACTTTATTAATGTAAGTAATTTGCAGCTGACTCAGGTCACAAAGTTCCCTGGAAAGCAAACTACTTTTTCTTAAATAGAAGTTCGTGTTGAGTACTTAATGCTGGGAAACAAGTTTAGTCAGCTTCGTGGCTTCATACGTGAGAACATCTGCCCTGTCCTGACACTGTTCAGATGTTTGCAGTGAGGACAGTGGCTGTCATAGCCCCACAATCATGGGGATCTTTACTTTGTTAATTCCCACACAGCTACTGGCAAGTCTGAGGCTGTTAATGCTCAGTGATATCTCACGATGATCACTGGGAATGCCATGGGGCAAAGATGTATTCACAACTTGGGAAAGTTTCAAAATTGGATAATAAATATACTAATAAATATAAGTTGAGAATTTCAAATAGATTTTCTCTGACAAATCTGAAACAGAAAGATAGTTGAATATTTTGTGTTATGGCTGCTCAGCCCATCTTGTCGCTTACAGTCTAATAAAAAACTGATATGCTGATTTCTACCAAATATGTCCTTGACATGAACTGGCAGTTTCAATACAGGCAGTGGAATAACCTATCCCTAAATATGAGCAGCCAGGCAAGCCAAATTGAAACACTTTAAATATTGGCCACTGGGTAAGCAATAATTTGCTTAAGAGGCACCTGCAACATTTTGACAGGTCAACATCTTTCAGAAATATAGGCTGGTAGTAAGGAAATCAAACAAACAAACAAAAACAAAAACACTTACAAAAGTATTTTAAAAGGAATCTAGTCATCACTGGTGTGCAAAGATCATTCCTACCTCAGATAGTCTCTGCGACAAAGGATAAGATTAGCTTTAGTGTACAGGGTGGAGCCCACCTCTCCCAAACGACAGTCACAGCAGGCACACTTCAGGCAGTCTTCATGCCAGTACTTGTCCAGGGCCTTTAGAAGATACCGGTCCTTGATCTTTCGGTTGCAGCCAGCACAACCTTTCGGCTTGGTGTCTGGCTGGACTGAGAGCATTTGTATACCTAAAAGAAGACAACAAAAAAGAGAACTGGGACTACAAGAAAGAACTGAAAGATGTCGAAAGACCTCAAACAAGTTAAATATTTCATATGGCCTTGTTCAAGCAGGGTGAGTCTTTCTTTAGGGCCACAGTAAAATCAAACTAAATTCTGGAAACAGAAAGGCTCAAACTTTATAAAGTTCTTATTAAATCATTTCTAAAGTCACACAAATAAAGCAGTGAAGGTAGTGAATTCATGTTGTACGCAGTAAAATGCCATTATGTACATACGCAAAGTTCAATAACATTAAATAATTTTATAGTGCTGCCATTCTCTACATAGAGCAGTTCCTTTAGGGATAAAATGTGAGTAAATGGCTAGCAATCTCAAAAGAAAGCTATTTAACACACTAGTCCATGCAAACTATAGGAGTCAAAATTGAGGGCTTTTAATTGATTAAAAATTGTACTTAATATGTGCCTGATGACAGGACAGTGCACCCTTATAGGATTACACTATCCTTACTTAGCAGTCAAGATGCTTATAGTTAAGTACACAGTACCATCACCCCAAAAGTTTACTAATCCTATATTACTTGTTTGCATCCAAATACTTCCTTTTGTGCCTCTGATATTTCAAAGTATTCATTATGTTAAAATTAAAAAATGTATTTAATAGAGGCATCATTCAGTGCCTCTATTAATGGCAGATTACCTAACTATATACTACTACATACTCTCATAAAAGCTAAAGATATGACTATATAATTTATTTCCTTTCACATGCACTTATTTATATTTTAGAAGAAAAAAACAACAGAAGGTAAAGTCTAAATATACATAAAATTATGCATATATAGATAAATGTATTATGTACAGTATGTATATTACATAATGCTATAATAGACATAGGGACATTTCTATATTTTGGCAATATATATACCCATCATAATTAAGGAGTCTAGCTGGGTTCTATGGATTTTACAACTTGACTGAAATTTGAAAGAATATTCGCTCAAGTAAATCTTTTCTAATTGTCAAACACCCAGCTTTAAAAAAAACAATGCTGGACCAACTATTCAGAGCTTCATATTTATTAGATAACTTATTTTAAACATTGTAAAATACCATCAACATCCATCAATTCCAAACTCCCTCATTTTACAAATTATGATACGGAGGCCTAAGAGAGGTTAAGGGATTCGCTCAAAGCTGAACAACAGTTAAACACTAGACTTGGTGGCCCTCCTACAGTCCCGAGGTCCCCCTGCTTCCTCTCCTAGGCATAAAGTTTTAAACTTGGACACAGAAGGATACCAAACACCAAATATGCATGCACTTGAAACAGTCTCAAGAAAAGAAATGCCAAGCTCTAATCTTGAGCATTTTCTGTGTGCTTCCCTCTTACAAAATAGTTAAACCTTCTTCAGTTTCCTCTGATGCCTTCTTCTGAAGACTGCCTCTATTTCCTTCACTGTCGTTTTCTTTTGTAAATCACACTGATTAGGAGACATCAAGGCACCATACCCTCTCAGATGGATAACTTTCCCAGCTACAAACAATACATGAATTGCACATAACACTGTTCTGATGTTGAACTTCCGTTAGAAAATAACTTGTCTGGTTAGAGTCATGGAGTAGGCAATGGCACGGAAGAAAGCAGGGTGGCTGTTCTTTCTGCATGATCTGCATAGCTGTGGTCTCCGGAGCTGCAAACTAGCAGCTGGGTTTGCACAGAAGAGCAGGTGGTATTCCTATAGCCTGCTTTCTGTTCCTTTTCTTTGAAGGAGCTAAGGGTCTAGTGTAGATTAATCATAACCCTTGATAGCTCTGCTAAATCTCACTCTCTAGAACTTCTAACAAATGAAGTTTCTTTGATCAGAACTACTTACTGTCTTCTAGCAAGGTTCCACAAGGAATGAATCCCATTAATTATAGTACAGATCTTACCCTAGTGCCTCTTAACCATATACCTAGGGGGAGGGAGAAATTTTGATTTACTGAGTGACATTCTGGATTTCATTACTGAAAACATCTAGAGATACGTTATGAGTGGCTATTCTAATTATCCAATTTATAGGCTATTATTTTTTATATCACAAAGCTCAATTTATTTTGTAAAAATACCTCTTAGTTGTAGCTAAGCTGTATTTCTGAGTTGTGTTACTACCATCAAGCCTGGAAGGTCAGCTATCTTTATTCAAAATGCTTTGCAACCAAGACAGGGAATACCAACATTTGGCATAAGCAGCACTGCCCTGCTTGTCTTCACAAAATGTTTTTGTTGTGTTGACATTTTAATTTAGCACTCAGAGGCCAATTAATATTTGAAACTCTTGCATTCTGTTTGGCCTTGGGCGTAAAAGGAATTTGATATTTTACACTCCACTCCGGTGCCTTCTTTCAGAGCACATCCTCACACTTCTCTTGAAAAGGAAATCTTTTCAATCCTATGTAACTTTACCAGCTGTAGAAAAATAACTATTTTGTAGTCACCACTCTGCCATGAACCTAAAAGGCATAAAGCAGTCAGCAGCCTCCCCTCACTATCCAGAGAACAGGTCTGGGTAGAGTTATGGGTTTGGAGCTGAGAAACACTGCACAAGTTGCTCATAGCACATCAGGACTCATAACTAGTTTAAGATTGGCATGTAAATTGTTCTGAGGGAAATTCTTATTGCCTCTGAGACCCTGCCATTCTGAGTTATTTGACAGTTTAAGGGAAATCATAATTAAAAAAAAGACATAAATAATAGCCTGTGCAGTGTGGTGTGCAGAAATAAGTAGAACCATTTCATTTAAACTCTGGTGAGCTTTTAATTGCCTGGATTGCATTGTGAGGCGGCCTAACGGTTGATTGCCTCCATTATGTTCCCTTGTTCTGTGCCATTCATCCGCGCAGCCTCAGCTTCAGTAGTTAACACAACAAAGTAACCACAACTCCACAACACACAGGGGTTTAAAAAAATAATCATAATAAAAGATTTGCAGCACTTAGACACAGTCTTTTATATTTCTGGACTAACTACACATAGTGAATGGAAAACATTTTGTCCCCGTCGGAAGACTCCGAGAGAACAATTTGGGAGAAGGAATTGTTAGAGGGAATGCATAAAGGGGGTTGGCAGAGATGAGGTGCCTCAGGAAGATGCTAAAATGGGAATGCAGGTTCTGCAGCTGGGAGCAGTGACACAGATTAAAAGAATTTGGCCAACATGGCCATTCGATTGCCAAGAGGTACCAAACAAAAGATTTTCTCTCCTCCTGCCCATCCTGATCCTCTCCCAGCCCCCAGCCCCGACTGGAGAACTGGATTGGGCCTAAAAGCTTGTTTCTCTCTGTTCACTGGCCCAGAGCATCCCTACAGGCTGCAGCCCCCTAAGGGACAACAATGCAAATAGATGTCCCCAGATCTCAGGCACTGGAGCTGCTTAACTCTGTTCTGCCCCTT